GAAAAATGGGAATGGAACCCGGAGTGAGACCTGCCGCTCCACCGGCACCGAGCGCACCTGGGATCCATGGAAAAATGGGAAAAAACAGGGAAAAATCAGGGAAAAATGGGAATGGAACCCGGAGTGAGACCTGCCGCTCCACCGGCACCGAGCGCACCTGGGATTACCCGGAATTCCAGGGAAAAACATGGAAAAATGGGAATGGAACCCGGAGTGAGACCTGCTGCTCCACCGGCACCGAGCGCACCTGGGATTCCGGGAAAAATGGGAAAAAACAGGGAAAAATGGGAATGGAACCCGGAGTGAGACCTGCCGCTCCACCGGCACCGAGCGCACCTGGGATTCCATGGAAAACAGGGAAAAAACAGGGAAAAAACATGGAAAAATGGGAATGGAACCCAGAGTGAGGCCCTGCCGCTCCACCGGCACCGAGCACACCTGGGATTCCATGGAAAAATGGGAAAAAACAGGGAAAAATGGGAATGGAACCCGGAGTGAGGCCCTGCCGCTCCACCGGCACCGAGCGCACCTGGAATTACCCGGAATTCCAGAGAAAAACACGGATAAATGGGAATTACATAAGAAAAAATGGGAATTAAAGCCAGTGTGAGGCCGTCCCATTTATTCCCATTGCCATTCCTGGGTTAATTCCCGGATTAACTCCCAAATTCCTGGAATAATTCCCGGGTTTATTCCTGGATTTTTCCCTGTCTCTCCTCCTTGCTGTGGTGGAAGCCGATCTGCTCCCGGTGATCCATTCCCAGATTAATTCCCAGATTGATTCCCAGATTGATTCCCAGATTCCCGGGTTTATTCCCGGGTTTATTCCCATGTTAATTCCCAAATTCTCGGATTTATTCCCAGGTTTACTCCTGGGTTTATTCCCGGGTTTATTCCTGGGTTTTTTCCCTGTCTCACCTCCCTGCTTGGTGGAAGCCGATCTGCTCCCGTTGATCCAATTCCCACATTTATTCCCAGATTGATTCCCAGATTGATTCCCAGATTGATTCCCAGATTCCCACATTTATTCCCAGATTGATTCCCAGATTGATTCCCAGATTCCCGGGTTTATTCCCGGGTCTATTCCCNATTCCCAGATTGATTCCCAGATTGATTCCCAGATTCCCGGGTTTATTCCCGGGTCTATTCCCAGGTTTATTCCCGGATTTCCCGGCTTACCTCCTTGCTGTGGTGGAAGCCGATCTGCTCCCGTTGATCCAATTCCCAGATTGATTCCCAGATTGATTCCCACATTTATTCCCAGATTGATTCCCAGATTGATTCCCAGATTGATTCCCAGATTGATTCCCAGATCCCCGGGTCTATTCCCGGGTCTATTCCCAGATTCCCAGGTCTATTCCCGGGTTTATTCCCGGATTTTTTCCCGGCTCACCTCCTTGCTGTGGTGGAAGCCGATCTGCTCCCGTTGCTCCCGTACCCAGATTGATTCCCAGATTGATTCCCAGATTCCCAGGTCTATTCCTGGGTTTATTCCCAAATTCCCGGGTCTATTCCCGGGTCTATTCCCAAATTCCCGGGTCTATTCCCGGGTTTATTCCCAAATTCCCGGGTTTTTTCCCGGATTTCCCGGCTTACCTCCTTGCTGTGGTGGAAGCCGATCTGCTCCCATTGATCCCATTCCCAGATTGATTCCCAGATTGATTCCCAGATTGATTCCCAGATTGATTCCCAGATTGATTCCCAGATTGATTCCCAGATTGATTCCCAGATTCCCGGGTCTATTCCCAGATTCCCGGGTTTATTCCCAAATTCCCGGGTTTATTCCCGGATTTTTCCCGTCTCACCTCCTTGCTGTGGTGGAAGCCGATCTGCCCCACGTCCATGTCGGGAGTTTTGCGCAGGTTGGTCCAGGGCGTGTAAACCACCGACACCGAGCTCAGCTTGCAGCCTGAAAACAGGGAAAACATGGAAAAATCCCGGAAAAACAGGGAAAAACATGGAAAAACGGGATAAACCAGCGACACCGAGCTCAGCTTGCAGCCTGAAAACAGGGAAAACATGGAAAAATCCCGGAAAATCCCGGAAAAACAGGGAAAAACGGGATAAACCACCGACACCGAGCTCAGCTTGCAGCCTGAAAACAGGGAAAA